CGCCCCCAAACATTCCAGAGGGTTCCATTCTTCTGCCCAACAAGAGATGCCTCTCCCTATTCCAGTGGTAATGCCATTTATCTACTGGACTTGCTGGAAAGTGGAATAACTATAGGCTTCTTCCTGACCTGCACTCCCTGTTAGTCATCACGGCCTGTGGATTCCAGAAATCTATTTTGTAGCTGGCCATGCTCTCCAACCCCAGGATACCCTAAGTTCTGTGCAGGCCCCCAACATTTTTCAACAAGTTTACCAAAAAAGAATCTATCCTTTCATATTTTTCCTCCATCCAATCTGCTGCCAATGAACTTTCAAAGTCATAGATTGAACAATGACATTCTCTTGTATTTCTGCAACCCCCTTCTTTGGAGGTAGACTTTCAGCAAGGTGTTCAAGACCGCTCATGTTTGGCCACCTCCTACCTTTGTAGGCTCATGCCCTGTAGCTTCCCCCTCTTACGATGTGCCCACATACAGAGAGCCCACAGAGCCAGGCCCCGAGGCTAAACACTCACTCTGACCACCAGATGCTCTTACCCACACTGATCCCCTCCTGCCCATCCTCCTGCTTTGGTGCGTCTCCTGGCCTGGTACCCTGCGAGCGTCTCTCACGCCTGCCTGCATGTCTCAGCCTCACTAGGAGCTGGAGCTGTTTGCTTGCCTGTCTGGTTACCCTACTATCTGCATGTTCACTGGTCTTAACAAGCCGTCTTCTCTAAATCTCCAGGATCTAGCACAGTGCCTGTCGGTAGCTACTTATATGCTGATTTTAGGTTTTTAACCAAAGTGATAATTCAGAGACCATAAGACTGGACCTCATTACATTAAATTCATGGGAGATATAGTAATCACAAAATTACTTATCTGGCCCCAAAATGCAAATAGCCATTCTTTATTAAATACCACTAAGAAAAAATTAATGTTGATGCAGTTATCTTAAGGGAACACGAAGCTTTGCCTCTCAGACATGAATGGTTCCCCAAGTAGTTGCTGAAGTAACTTCAAATTCATCCTCTGCATCCCTGCCACAGTCCTGTCCACTCCCACTCAAATCGGCCTAAGGCAGCTTAATGCTACCTGTGCATATGCTCAGGGATGCAGTTGGGCTGGCAGTTTCTCCTCATGCCCTCCTGCTGCAGAGTTTAAAGGCGAACCAGCCCCTGGGACTCCCTGCTTGTCCCATTCATTTCCAAAAATGCCTCTTTTGGAGAGGCCAACTCACAGGACCTAATAAACCACAGCAGGAAAAACCCTGGGGTCACTCAGCTGGGAAGCTGCCGGCACATTTCTGTGTTTGGTTTCCATGTCACTGTTTACCCTGCACGTCCCGATCTGTGTACGCTACCTATGGACCATTCAGATATGTCTTGCTAGTTCAGTTACCGTGAAGACACAGGCAGCGGAAAGAGGAACAAATGGACAGCAGAAGCCAGCCACAAGTTATCTGGCCCTCCCTTCAAAACCCTAACCTTCTCTAAGCTGAAAATGCATCCCCACAGCTAAATCACTGCCAAAAAAAATCTTTTATTTACATTAAAATATCACTACAAGAGACACATTTTAATACCTAGCTGTCTTCCCTCTTGGGAAGTTTATTCCCTATTTGACTTTCATGGTGTCATGCTCTCATTTCTGTCCTCCTGAGAAGAAAAACGGATTGGTGTTATCTGTCTTAAAAGTCTGTATTTTTTATGACCATCACTAAATCTTCTGGACACAACATTTTCCCCAGACACAATAAGCTTGGGACCTTTATCTTTTCTGCATACATTGCATTTTCCAGTCTTTGTGTCTGTTATGACTGACCTCATGTAAATTATCACATTAGACACTGAGGAGTGATAGAGGGGAGCCACTGATAAGGGACTGCTGGAGGGGCTGAGGCTCTCGGCTACAGGCAGAAAGAAAATACGTGAAATATTTACGCATGCAGAAGCCTTAAATACATCGCTAATTCGCACTGTACCATCCTGCTGAAGGAGAATTAGAGATGACCATGCCCACTAGTTGGCTAGCTGTTGTGGGAAGGATAATGAACAGACTTTGGAAGGACCCACCCACTTAGAAAAAACTAGATGTTCTCTGTGTTGCTCGTCAGCTTGTTCACGGACATATCCACGTCCAGCTCTCCACACAACACACTGCTGATTTTCAGCATTGAAGAAGTGCTTGTTGACTGCATGGCCGACTGGCTACAGTACCCTACTGGGGGAGAACAGTATAACTTGGCTTATAAGTTTGTAAATAACTCATCTGTATGTGTTCAGGCTAGAATTTTAGGATTTTTGAGCAGAAAAAACTTCCAAGTAGCAAAACATTACAGATTTGCTACCCTGCTTTTGCCCTTGTTATAGCTCAGGGTAGTCACCTGCTTCTTTTTCCCGCTGCCCTGTGTTTGCAGAAACCAGTGTGGAAGATTTCCACCCACTTACTTGGTTCCCTGTGTCTGTTTCTCAACCTCCCTGTCACACTACTTTCATTTTACTTTATTTAAAGGATTTTTATTACTAAGCAATTGCTTTATTAAGAAAAGATCATTCCCCCATTCTATCACACTCAGATACCCTCTTGTTCTGGTATTAGATTCTACCTTCACAGCCCACTGCAAAATTCCAAAGTTTCCTTTACTGCATGTTTGGGTCACGAGTCTTCTTTTAAATGTTTAAATATTTTGAAAAACCTATCATCGTTGGTAATCTGGATTAGGTCCTTTAACAGAAAAAGGACATGAGTGAACAATTAATGAAATTGGAATAAAGTCTATAATGTATATAGTAGCTCCCGTCTTAGTTTTGATCAAAGCCTCTTGGTTATGTAGGATGTTAACTTCGGGGAAGCCAGGTAAAGGTACAAAAGTGGCACAAATAAAAGGTCAGAAATTCAACTACATGCGCACATATCCTAGTTGTTTTCAAAACAGTTTTCCATGTGTAAGAAAAACCACAGACCCCACAGGATACTTTAGAGGCTTCTAGACATCAGGTAGCATAGGGAAACACAGCGGCCCCTGTGCACCATCCACTTCCTGTTGCATTCCCTTCCGTTCCTGAGGCCCCATGGTACCAATGCCAAGTGTCCCTGACTGTCCCGCATTTTGTAAGCCCCTGGGTGATTTCCAAAGATCATCCCTCTTGTCACAAGTCCTTTATCATCACACATGAAGCTAAGGCTTAGCTCGCCCTGTGTTGGCCACTTACATCACCGTCTTTCTCCTAAGCAACACGCTCAGAAACACCTGTGATTCCTTCCTCCTCTTTCTCACATTTTAAATGTTGATTCTTCCAAAAGATGTCTTGTATCTATCAACTCAACCCCTTTCACTGTCCCTTTCCAGTTACCTTAGACTAGGCCTTCAAATACCTGGTCAGGACTACCACTACCCACAGTGTCTCCACTTCCCCTGCTGTCTTCAGAAAGTGGGCGTGACAGTGTCCCTTTCCTGCTTAAAAAATTCCTCAGTGGGCCCTCCCTGGTGGCGCAGCGGGTTAAAGCACAGCACTGAGAAGCTAAAGTCGCTTCCACATGAGTTCGATTCCCGCCTGCCCCGGAGGTGACCACATGGTGTGGCAGACTTCTCCTGACCCACCCGCTGCTCCCCTCAGCAGTGTACTTCATCCATCTGCCTGTTCTGTTCCCCACTCTGTCTCTGGTGAAGCCTCTCACCGCCCCTGAGCCTCTGGCCTGTACCCCAGTTCTGTATGCACAAATAAATAAATCTTTAAAAAAAAAAAAAATTCCTCAGTGGCCACAGCAGTGCCTCTATGGATTGTCTCCAACAGCAAGGGAAACAAAAGCAAAAATAGGTAAATGAGGCTACATTGAACTAAAAAGCTACAGCAACAGAAGCCATCTAAAAGGGGAAGCACCTTCCAGAAGAAATTTACAAGCCCTGACAAGTGGTCAGTATCTGAAGTATATAAAGAACTCATAAGTCAGCAACAAAAAACTTGAAAAGATGGGTAGATGATTTGAATAGATATTTTAACAAGACATACAGATGGCCAGCAGGGACATGAAGATGTTTATCATCACTTTATGAGGGAAATGGAAACAAACCATTCCAGAAATATGAACTGCATGTTTAGCTCATCACTTTCACTCTCCATGTTGCATAATTATCAGTGTATGTTTCATTCCCCACTTTATTTCATGCTTTAACACAGGTACAGGGAATCTTACTCATACTTGTCTTTCTGCTGCCTGACAGTGCTTGGCATGTTAAGGTAATGAGCTGGAGGTTTCTTCAGGACCCCAGACAGTGTCATAGTATCATATAAGCCAGACAAACATCATGAGTTTTGCATGTAGGTGTGCTTTCTAACCATCTACACCTTGTATCTGTCTGCTTGTTCATACTGTTTTTACTGTTCCCTCGCTGTCATGTGTTCAAGTACAGTGAAATGATAGTAGCCAAAGATTTTAGACTTTCAGGGAATCACAATTTAAATATTTCATCTCCTTGTTCCTATCTGTACTTGGTTCTCAAACTTATCATAATGCATGTAAGAGGAGAGCTCATTACTGTCATGCTCAGTGCTGCTGTCCTCATTCGTGGAAACTGCGGGTGTTTCTAGCCAGACACAGGATGCTACTGCAGTTGGTGCTCAGCTCTGAGATCTGTTCATTTAGAGACAGACTAACAGAGCTGGGAAGATAGTCTGACACAAAGTTAAGTCACTTTCCACAGCGAATGAGCTGAAGCCAGCTAGGTGTGGGACTTGCCTGAGAGGACACAGCTGGCACAGGAAACCCCACACGCTGAGCCACAGGTCCTGGTCAGCCTGTGGTGCCCCTCACACCCTGGATCACACTAGAAGTCAAAGGTTGCTCTCTACTTGTGTGTGTCAAGAAAAAGATGGGGAACAGATGCTACAGGTGTCTCAGGGCACGGGGAGGACGAGGGGGAGAGTGCAGAGAAAGGAGATTCTTGAGCCTGAAACTTAGAGAAGCATCTGTCATGGCAGCAGCGTGGTTCACTTGTATTTCTATCCTTGTTTCCAGAATTTTTCCCAGAGAATACCTCCTTCAACAGATCCACCTATATTCCCTCGCCGACCTGCAGCAGGTAAGCCCCCAAGGGCCTTTCATCTCTGCTTTCTCCCTAGGGAAGTCTCTCTGTTAATTACGATCTTGGCACTGAATTCTGCCATCATTTGAGGTAGTTTTCTTCACAAGCCCTGATAATTAATGAATTTCTGTCAGAAATCAAATAGACCAAACAACCTAACAATTCCACTCCTGGGTACATACCCAAGAGAATGAAAACCATGTTCCCAGGGAAGTCAGTACATGACTGTACTATGGCTTATAGTAGTAACAGTGTGGAAACGGCCTGCGAGGGAGTGCTAAGCAGAGTGCTGGGCGTGCACTTACGTACTATTTAGCCATTGAACACTGGGAGCAAGGAGGAGGAACCATGAAAAGATCACGCTGAAAGAATCAGGGAAGAAACACAGTTTATGTTTCTGCTTAAATGAAACGTCCAGAATAGGTGAGCCCCTGAGACAAATAGATGAGGGGGGTGCCGGGACTCAGCAAGGATGAGGGCGGTTCCCAAGCAAGCAGGGAATGAGGGGACTGCTAGAGTCAGTTGATTTAGGGGCTGACGAGAATGTTCTGGAGCTAGAGGATGGTGATGGTCACACAACATTGTGAATATACTGAAGCCCTCTAAATTGTAGAAGAGTAAGTTTTACGATGTACGAATTATATCTCAATAAAAATATTGCACAAGGAAAAAGATGTGAAAGGCAGTGAATTTCTGCCTTTGAAGCTCTTTGACTTGTGCCTGGGTCAGTTGAAAAACTTTCACAATTTAATAAAATGGGGCATATAAGAGTCAAAAATCTTTTAAAATTTTTATTATTGCATGTCCTTTTAATGATTGACCAACTTAACAGCCAGGAAGAAAACTGACAATTTTGTCTATTCAGCCTTAACTTTCTAAACATGTTACACTTTGGGTAATCATCCTTAGAAACTTTTAGACACTCAAGGAAATGACTACTTTCCTTTGCAAGCATTTACTGGTCCCTTCAAAAGGCAATTTAAAAAAAAGCAGTTGTGACAACTTTCAGAACATCTCACACTGCTGTAATTCTGTCCTTTTGTTTGTTACTGTTTTCCTCTGCGGTTGTTTTCCTCCTAAAGGAGTGAGGTCAACCTGAAACCTGTGTTCAAAAGTCATTTTTAAGTTTGACTTTATCTTCCAGGTTATTTTCTCTTTAAACAAGATTTTTGGGTGTGTTCTTTGGTCACTCTCTCCTCCCTCCCCAATGAGAAAGTTACTTTAAGCGATAGAAATGATTTCAGAATATTTAGAGAGGTCTGAGAAATGCTATGGCTTTCATTTCCTTCCTCTTGCACATGACATTTATCCTTTTTGTATACATCAGCTCCCTCCCCTCCCAGTCCTGTCTGCCCTTTCCTGTATAATCAGGCTTCTATGATCTGCTGGCCGGGTAGAAAGGAGTAATTTTGAATGACCGTTGGGATGTGGTCCTCAAAGGAAGATTGAGTTAAGATACCCTGTACAGATTTTCTCGGATGCTGCCTACATGCCCCGTCCGAGGACCCAGTCACTCAGGAAGGATGTTTAAAGGCACTGACATTCCCGTAAAGCTGACTTAAAGTAGAATGGGTGGGCCTCCAGAGTTCTATTTCAAAAATTAGTTTGGAGACCAGATGAAGAAGAACCCGTAAGTCCATGCTCATTGTTAGGGCCCAGAGCGGTGTATCCGCGGGGGTGGGAAAGACGGCCTTTCTCAGCTTCCCTACACCCTGCTGCCTTTTCCTTTTCTTTCCCACCCCCTTGTCATAATCAAGCCAGACATGCCCGGCAGCTTCCTTACATCAATGGTGCGCTGCTCTTGGTGACCAGACCGCTACCCCAGGAGCCCTGTAAGCAGCTTAATCAGTTTCCAGCCTCAGTAGCAAGTGATGGGGCAATCAGCAGCTGATCAAACTCCCGGGGGTGGGGCGGCTCTGGCTCCCTGCATCCATTTACTCAGCTCACTCTAACCTGCTTCTTTGTGCCTGACTTTAAGATCCCCCAAACTTATCATATTTAGAAGTTTAATTCAATTACTTTTTCTGCCTGAGGTGGTTTAAATTGGATTTAGCTTTTGATCTGTCTGCATCTAGGCTATCAGTGCTGAAGGGCACCTCCACCTCATCTTGCCTTGTTTCTGAGTAAAATTCAGGCCTGCTTTATGGATATGAATAGTTCTTGTAAGTCTGTAAGGTAAGGGAACACCAGACATAAAAAAGAAAGGCTGTTGCTTTCGGAAGGCGCGTGGAGGAGGTGCAGGAAGTTGCGTGTGTCCTTGGCCCTGTCTGGTTGTGTCCTCAGCCTATGTCACGTCAGCTTCAGGAGTTTGAGAGTAAATTATTTTTTCCCTACTTGATTCCCCTCCTCACACCCAAAAGAAAGGTCTCTTATAAATACAAGTCTGCCCTATAAAATAACTATAGAAAAATTCACTTCATCTTGTATCTGTGCAAGGGAGAAGAAGATAAACTAAAGCAAGTAACTGAAGAGTTACAGATCCTAGGTAATATAAATATCTTTCCCAAAGACAGATTTCTTTCTACAAAAAATTCTCTTAAATGAGTTTGGGTTTTCCCCATTATCTTCTATTTTAAAAACAAAATGTAGATATCTTCCTCTCCAAAAAGGTAACAATCAGTAAGCATGGTATAGAGGAGTTTATAATGTACACACGTCTACTCCTACATAATACAGTACACAGAACAGCAGTAATTCCTCAAGTAGATATACTGAAAGAACTTTGGCATGGAAAAGAAATTACAGCTTCCTTATTTCTCTCCAATTTTTACAAGTAATAGTCCTGAAAATTTTAGTAGACTTCAACAATTTGGCCAAAGATTTCAAGCTACTATCTGCTTCCAACGTCACATTCAGACAATCTGTTTGCCTTCCCTGGCCTCTGCGCCTGCATTCTCCTCCCTGTTGGTCCCTAGCTCGTGGCATGTACACAGCAGGCTGGCACTGATTAGCAAGGGGAACCCTCTGGTGGTTCCAGGACTGCGCTCACTTGCCCACTGCCCCACAAGTGGTGGACAGAATTTGTAGCTAATGCCTGTGCCTACTTGTCTATTTCACCAGTGATTAAGCAGCTCACTGGGTTTTACTTGCACATCATAAAGGTAGCAGTTAAACACCACTCGTCATTACCTGACTAATCAGTTGGCAGCACTGTGGCTTGGAAAATAGGGCCGAGTACTCTCCCAGCCTAACAGCAGCGCCCAGGAAGAAGAGGGGGCAGAGGCCTTCCAGAGGCCTTCCAAACCTTGGGAGCTGAGAGGTGCACTGACTTGAATTTGTCTCTGAAGTGTGGCCATTTCTTTTCAGCAAAGTAGATCATGCTAGAAAAACATAAAACTCATGCTCTGAGTGTGCAGATAGCAAATATACTGGTTTTCTTTTTTAAGAAATTTTTATTTTAAAAATAAAATCCTAAACTTTCAGGAGGTATAAATGCCTAGCGGTTTCTTTGCACTGACACAGCAGCTCCTTATAAAGGGTTTGGTAGGCCTTTGTAAGGAGTATAAAAATGTAAGTATTGTGCAAATTTAATGGGGAAACTAAGGCATTGCTTTTCAAGAGCTTTTTTCTAGGTTGATACCTCAAGGAGGGGAAATAGAAGTTGTGTGTGTTATTTTCAGTTTATCAAACATTTCCATCAATCCAGGGGAGGTGCTATGACAGGATGCAGTAAAAATGTATGTTCTGATGAGATAGCTCTCCGTGCCCTTGCTTTCTGCATGAGCTCTCCCCTCTCCCTGCTAGCGTGTGACAGGGAACATCTCTTCCTCCTAGCCCCTTGGCTCTTTGAACACGCGTGAGAAAGTTCCACATTTTACCATTAGAAAATAATGTTCAGGAGGCTGTCGTTGCTTTGAAGGAGCAAGTCAGAGCCCTGGTTTAGTCAGCCATACCTTGGCTGATGAGCTGAGAGTGCTTCTAGACTTTTGCCTACCTCTGCTCTGTAACAATTCCCAAGTGTTTATTAACGACTGACTCTTCTGGTGTTACTCACCTTTGCGACATATGTAAACTAAGCCCAGAATGATTCTATTTGTAATGATTCATGAGAAGAGAGAGCAATGCTCTCCCGAGTGAGCAACTGGGGAGAGAACACCTCCCGTCCACTCCGTCACCACCATTGCCCCCCAACACACACACACACACACACACACACACACTCACTCACTCTCACACACACACACACACACACACACTCCTTTAGGTCATCTGAGGGCTGATGTCTCCATTGTTTACCTTCCCTGGGCCCTAATTTCCAAACTACACCCCACCTTCAGGTTAAGGTATTTAGACTCTCGTTAATGTTACCTGAGAAAAATTAATTATTTTGGCATAAATTTATTTGTCTTATTAATAGGTTGAAAGCACAGCATGATATTTGAGTGAGAAAGATTTCAGCAGATCAGATTTAATGATGAAAAAAGATGGAAAAGTCTGGAATTTGGAGTACTTACTAAAGAGATGTCAAGGGGGAAGGATGCCAAAGGGGAGGACTCACAGCATTCAAGAGCCGTGGAGAGAGGAGTAAATCAAATGCATACTGCCTTTCTGGAGCTGCCTAGAATGGTCTGAAATGTTTACTTTATGCTAAAGCAATAAACATTTATTCTAAGCAACGGGGCATGTAAATGTTCAAGGAATCAATGGATGGGTGAACACACACATGCTGCATCCTGAGCTTACAAGTGCTGTTTCTCACCAAAAGTAAAGCAAACTAATCTAACGTCAGCCCCTAGCCAAACAAAATTAGAAGTGCTGATCTGCAAAATAACAGTACACGGAATTCTAAACCCAAATAAAAATCTTCTTCTGTGTCAGAATAATGGTGAGTTGGTCAGTGATACAAACTTTCCAAACACTAGACTTTCCTCACTAGCTAGCCAATTTTTCCATTAACTTTCATGAGTCCCCCATACTCACAGAGCTTAAGAACTGTCATCTGTGACTTAAACATTTGCCAGAATTGGCCTCTGGTGATGAAATGGTGTTCTTACCAT